TCCAGAGCCTACGGAGTGATAGGGTTAGTGCAGGTTAGGTTAGTGCATACACTAACTCCCATCCTCCCATCCCACCATGAACTGAAATCGGTGTGCTGCGTTTTTTTTTCCTTTCAAAGCAACTAGCTGTTTGAGGGGTCCAGTCCCATGACTAGGAATAGTCTCAGGACCTAATCTAAGAGAACATATATATTTTATTATTTTGTTGTTTCCCTTCAACGTGACTTTACCGAAAGAACTAAGAATATGAATTACTGCAGTCACGAAAGCTTTAAATCAAAATATAAGAGAACATGTTTAATTTTCGGATTTGTATTTTTTCTTGTTTGTACATTTTGTATGACAGATCTCACGTTGCTAAAGGCACTTGCTGACTCGGTGTGCTATCACCTGGCTTTGAAGTTTGTTGATTAATAGATGAGTTGCTAAGCACATGGCAATAACACCTGTGTAATGCAAATTAGTTAGCAACAAAAGAGAGCCAGAGTAAGGCTAGTGGATGTTATTAATAATCTTAGACTTTAGTTAAAATGTATTTACTTAGAAATCGAGTGACGGTAAGAAATGATAGTGATAAATTATCCAAAGTAAAAAAAGATCATTGCTCCATCATCAGATGAGTCGGCTTTTCCCCGAGAACGGGCGAGTGGAATCGCCCGAGGCATGCCGACCACGTCCTCGAAATCGAAGGCAGCATCGAGATGCGCAGTGTCAGAGATCACCAACTTGGAGTTCCCTCCTCAATCAACCACGTGTGCCCATGGCCAGCAGCCTGCACACTGGTCCTGGAGGACGAGGCTCGCAAGAATATTTGTCTGGGCCTGTACTCAATAACACAAGTGATCTACCTCACATTCCAAAGCAGTGGGAACCGTCCTATGGTGTTGCTCACCATGATTGGATGAAATTTGGTGGAGTAAAATACAAAAAAGAATAAGAGACGCATCGTGGCTAAAGCGCACTACGCAACGGACTTGGCGACCCAGATAACGTAAGTGGCGAGTGATGTCTGAACTGGTCCTGGGCTTTCCCCCACCCTATTACCTTCATCAACTCCCCCCCCCCCCACCCACTGACCATCATGGTGAAATACGATCAAACGACCCAGGCGACCCACACTGCGTGAGGGGGCCTTTCTCCAGCAGCGGATTGACAAAGCACCGCAAAACCAAAAAAAACGAGGACAAGTGAGAGCTGTATGTGTATGGATGAGCTGTGCTTGTGCTTACAGAGTATAGAGGAGCTGGAGAAGGAGATGCTCAATGGACAGAAGCTACAGGGCCCACAGACCTCAGCGGAGGTGCACCGCATCCTCAGCACCAAGGGACTCGTGGACAAGTAAGCAACGCATGGCCCAGACCGGACACCAGTGGGCAGGGTTTCTCACACGCTTGCTTCGTGTAAGAGCCACGAGCAAGTGTAACGATACATTGATTCATCGGTTAATTTTTATTATTCTACAGTGTAAAAAAACGCTTGTTTAAGAGCCAGTGTGCATCGTATCTGTTGTATGTAGTGGGTTTACATCACCCCTGGAGCCACTAGAGGTACAGTACTATTCCCTCCAAGAGTAAAAAAAACTATTCTTGTATATAAACAGAACTCTGAATTGTGACAAACGGCGGTGAAGCCTTACACTAACAATAAGCACATTTCTAGAATCTATACATTTGCAGCTGTTTAAGCTGTGCAATTTTAAGAATAAATCCGCTCGTGTTCTGGTTACGGGTGGATTATTACAATGCAGGATCGTGAGAGACGGTGGTGGCTAGGGGAGGCCTTCATCAAGCAGTGGCTTATCCATGATTTTAAGAAGAGTATTTAAAGCATTTAGATCAGGGATTCAAGTATTGAGGTGATGGCTTTCCTGTGCACCAAGGTTGATTATTTGAGTTTTTAGCCTGAGAAAGTGCCATTGTTTGTGCGGCAGGTTCCCGCTGTTTACAGCCATCTACCAGATCTGCTACGAGGGCAAGCCTGTGAAAGAGTTCACCAAGTGCATGCAGAGCCACCCCGAGCACATGTGAGAAGACCTCGCGGCGCAGGAACCCAGCGGTCTCGCCCAGCCTGCACAGCGTCATACACAGCTCGCAACCGCACTCGCATTGGCACGGACACACGCACGCATTCACAAGTGCGTGTGTGCGCGCGTTCACATGTGCGTGCAAATTCTCATGCCAGCATGCCAATCTGAGGATGCAGTGGACAGTCCCACTTATCATCTCCCAATGAACATAAAGCAGAGGTCCATCTCCACCACTGTCAATTAAACACAAGCAGGCAACGAGACTTTAACGGCTCATTTCGTTGGTTGGAGTGGCATGAATAGATGTGTACAGTGAATACACAGCAGAGAAATCGCATTTTAACATGCCACTTTTAATTGCGTACTAAACAAGATAGAACCTTTGCAGTAAAGAAATTGGTGCCAATTTCATGAATGACATTTTACAACATCCTGATGCATCACGAAATTAGTTCAGGTGTAGCATTTATACATGCACAGTAGTGTGGATGCCCAGTGCCGACATTTTAAAGTAATGTAATCGGACATGTAAGCAGACATCTGTGAATTAAATTCACAGCCCTTGGATGTGAATTTTCCTTGGATAATGCATTTTGGTCAGGCTTTGTAAACAGTATCGTTTGAAACACAAACTTACCATCAGCTTGAAAGTGACGTTTAAGCCAGTTAAGGAATTAATTTCCAATGTTTCTCCAGTTTGTCTTGTTAAATGATGTATATACATTCATGTGTATGGTGGATATCTAAAAAAATTATATCATGTGTACCAAGTGTTAGGACTGAAACACTGTCAGAGAGCTGTATCCAGGTGGTGTTTTGCCAACGTTAACATTCAGGTTTACTCAACAAATTTGCTGCTAAATATAATTACAGAGGACGTGGCTACAAATAAAGGAGGCCTGCACAACATCAGGCTGCCAGGGTCGTCTCTGCCCTCGCAAATATGGAACGTACCACTGAAGGTACATTGAATATAAAATGCCATACAGAACTATTAAAATAACAAGTGACCTCTGGCACACTCTGCAAAGAGGTTTATTGCAAATAAGATGCAAAGGTTCTACTCGCATGCGCCAGCTCGTGTTGTAGATTGCGTCGGGCCAATCTGACCCCCACGTCGCATTACAATGTTGCCACTAACAGACAACCGCAGCTGCCTGTCGTTATTAACGGGTGCCTTGCAAATTACTGTGTGCAAAAGCGAAATTCTTTGTGCCTGACAGCCGAATGCTTGAACTGTGATTCGGAGGTTGGATCGTAGCAAGAGTCGTAACGTGACTTGTCCTCGCTTCTTCCCTCGCTGGCACACCATGCAGTGTGGGGGGGGGGGTCTTGGCCAGTGCCCAGGTTCTGGTCCTCCCACTCAGCCGTTGGGCCATTTCGGACTATGGGGGATGAGCTCCTGCCCAGAGTTGTTCTGTACCTCGGAAAAATCCAAATGTCAACTCGAAGGCTCTCCCCGTGTCTGGCTTGGGTGCTACAGTTGAATGGCAGCGATTTGCGTTGGGCACAGTGACTGACGGGGAGGGAATTTCAAACCGCAGTTTTTTCCACATGTTTTGAGAAGTGAAAATGCCATGTAAAAGTTTGAATGCTATAAAAGTTAATGCGCATTAAGGGCATATACAATATACATGCTTGTATTTTCCTGTACGCAAAATATTGTCAGAACCCCGGTGACAATGGTTTATAGTTTTCTCACTCTGGCCTAAGCTGACCGCTGCCCTTAAAAGTTTCACTTTCCTCATGGAGTGCCAGCCCGTGGAGATGGACAGTGGACCTTTTAACGTGGGTGCGGACGCATGGACAGGCGAGTCGAGGTGAAGAAGACGCAAGCTCTGGAGCATTGCTATTTTTCTGCCAAGCGGCTGCATGCTCCAGGGAAGGTGCTGATGGTCTGCATGACCACCGACCAGTCTTTATCTGCTTCAACACGCACAACTCTTAATGTAGGGTATTGAAAAATAAGATAATTTAAAAGTTGGCGCAAATGCCCGAGTTGCTCAATGTGGGCAATCGGGTTAATGGAGTGGGCCTCCTTTATTTAAATTTCACAAAATGCTGATGCAATTTAGTGTTTGGGTTATTGTGTAAACAGTTGATTTGAAATCATTTTCTGTTTGCCTTGTCAAGTTGTGCAATGCTGATTAAAGCCTATTTTAAACAATGTGATTTTCTCAATTTAGACACGAAGCTGTGTGTAGTTCACATTACATATTTGTGACATGTGTAAATAAAAATAATGAAGTGCCATTTTGAAAGATGTATGTGCTGTTCAATGCACAGGGCTTAAGTTCAGCCGGGAAAATATTTCTGCTCCCAGCACACCACATCCAGTATACTTCTAATAATGTACCTACTCGAGTCGACTAGGGACTCGTAAAATATTCAGTGAAACATTTTTTTAAGCCCTGCTTACTCGCAAACGCGTGACTACATTGATATAACGTTGGCTTTCGGAGAAATACTCGAGCGATATAGCCACTGCATGGTGCAGGTTATGCTTCTCAGATCAATCCAACAAGTCATTAAACTTACTGGTTAAGCCAGATGCTCTCCCGTAATGGCAGCACACCTACAGCATTTAACAGAACCTTGAAATCCCGCACAGCAATTGGATTGGCCACCTCTCGCTTTTTGCCAGTCCACAAACAACGCGGCAATTTCCCCGCACTCCTCGCTGTCAGCGACTTTGATGCGAACCATCAAGTGGCCACAGCGCCCTCTAGGGGCGCGCCTAGCGGGAAGGTGCTGAAAGGCGGAACGAGCATTGGGCATTAGCAGAAGACCCCGAGGCCGGCCTACGACACGCTGGCGGGACTGTGTCGCTCGGATGACCTGGGAATTCCCGAGGAAGAGATGGAGTCTGTGGCCAGGGGTAGGGACGTCTGGACCGCGCCACTACTCGACACGCTGCCGCCGCCGCCTCGGCCAAGACAAGCGGACTGAGAAACGGAAACAAAGAATTCTGCTCTTCGTTGACCCTGCAAATGGTTTAATGCCGTACATTAAATACACGATGTCACACTCCAAAGGAACAATGTTAATACTGTCAGAACGGCGGCGGCGTGTACACGTGCAGCGCGAGTGAGATTTCACCCTGTCGGGTACTGCCACAAGCAAAATCAAATCTCTTTGCAACAATCGGTGGGCAGCGCACATGCATGGGGTTCTGGGTCAGGGGAGAGAGAGAGAGAGGCTTGTTAAACAGGAACATTCAAAACGGGACGACACGAACTCGTGTTATAAATAAAATGTGATATTGTAAGTCAACGTAGACCAAGTAACACGTATTTCAACTATCTATTGTAGCTGCGCCATCGGGAGAACAGTCGGTTTCTTTTTACTATGATTCCAAGCAGAGCTTGAGGCAGTCTTTATAAGCTGCATTGCACAAAGTACAACTGCACAGTTATACAAACCACAGTCTTATCCATGGTCCATTAAAGTGTCAATGCCATTACCAAGATTACGCATGAAACCACTGCGAGTGAGACTAAATAGGTGTGCCTGGCACGGACGGGTTTCACTTAAGTGCCTTGAAAACAGGCGACACACTAACGGTGTCGCTGTCGGCAGCGAGAAGCTGGATTCCCCCTTGGAACAGTGGATTAGCCTTGGCAGTGGACATTATATGCAGGGCCCGTGGTTTCAGAAGAAAGATTGCAGTGGGCTGCGAGGGCAATTGTGCAATTAAAGGCAATGCAGTGACTGAACAAAAACATCTGCTTTCGGAAATTACATTGTCACACAACCCCGCACAATGCAACCGCATGAGAGTGGAAAGGAGTCCTCACAATGCATGCGCCCCAGTGTTTCCAGGCTTTAGGGCTTGTATCTTGGTAAAGCGTGAACTTTTGAGCTGGTAAATGCAATGTGTTGCAACTACCCCTGTGCGTTTCAAAAGCTGCCAGTCACATCGTGTTCCATGTGACCTGCGTCAGCACACTGTGCCACTCTGCATCATAACGAGAACGCTGACCTGTGAAATAATGCAGCCACCTTTTTAGAGTCCATGCAAACTTGCACATTCCAGGCATAAAATACAGGCTGTCCACAAAGATATGCCGCATCATTAGAATTCGGCAACATTTGAGATTTGTATCATGAGTTTCCTCCCTCTAAGCCTCTTTAAGTTAGCCATGGTGTTGGTGATACACATCGTATAAACATTTGAGAGGTGGAGGATCACTCGAGCTTGTTGGTTTGTTTAAACTTTCACATAACCGCCAACATAAACATCGTAGCTCAAGCTGCCATCTAATTATTCTCTAATAATAATACCTTTAAGGATGCACCATGTAATCAATTCATTATTTAATCCAACTTAAGGAGACTGCAAAGTCTTAAGAGTAATTTGATTGCACTGTTTTCTGTAACGTAGTTGCGATGACAATACTATTTCGTGACTTGAGTGCATTTTTTTAAATAAATCTTGTCAAGATATATAGTCAGGCAAGGTATTTGTGTTATTAGTAATCAACAGGGGAACGAGGGAACTTGCAGTGTTGCCTACAAGACGGTAGTTGCTGAAAGGCACCTCCAATTAGCGCGGTTAGCTACATACGGTGCGAAAGAAGTTCAACACACATACATAAGTGACAATGCTAACAGGACAACTCTTGCGAGTACGGCCATGCTAAGGGCAGGCCCATATTTATAACCTTCCACTGCCAACAGCATGATGAAGCTTACGGTTTGACAATATTCTCACAGTCGAGTGATGTCGACACCGCAGGACAGCAAAACTTCTAAAACGACACCGAAAGGTACCGCGGCACAATTAAAACAGCAACGGGGATCAAATCTTCCGCCGCGGTGCTGAATCCTGAGCACCTGCGAAATTCGTCAAACGCCACGCGCCAAACGGAAGCGGTCCTCCCCGCCACCCCGCCTAGGCACACGCGTGGTTGGTCCCGATCATGACGTTGGGCAGAGCGTTGCGGCGGAGCCTCCACGCGCCGAGCGCCTGGCTGTGCAGCCGGAGCGCCGAGAACCAGCGCTCGGCGCCCTCGCTCACCAGCAGCAGCAGCATGTCGCGGCTCGCCATGTCCTGCAGCTCGATGAGCGCCACCTCGGCGCCGTCCCCCCCCGCCTTGGCCTCCGGGAGCCCCGCGGCGCCCCTCGCCGAGCCTCCGGCGGCCCCGAGCCCTCCGTCGGGGTCGAGCGAGACCACGCACCGCGCCAGGCTGAGGGGCTCCCGCAGCAGGCTCAGCTTGCCCCCGCCGCGCTCCCTCACCAGCACCAGGGAGGCCCCGCGCACCGCGTGCGGCCCCGCGGCCCCGCCGGGCGAGCGCAGGGCGGCGCCCTCGCGAGCGCCGGCGGCCCCCGGCCCCCGGGAGGAGGCGTCGGCCGCACCGCCGCCGCCGCACAGCGAGGCGAGCGCGCAGTCCGACGCGCTCGTGGGTATCGCTTGCGCCCTCTCGGCGCCGTCGGCGCGGACCGTGCTCTCGCGGAGAGACGACGTGCGCAGGATGGACGGCGTCGCCGCCTTGTGCCAGGGGGCCTTGGCCGGTGAGCACTCGTTGGGGTCCGGGGAGCGGCCCGACGGGCAGGTGGCGGCGAGCGCGTCGGCCCACCCGTCGCTGCCGTCTCCCCGCGACACGAGCACCAGCAGCAGGGCGTGCACTCGCTGGAAACGCAGCGAGCGGTGGCCCCGGCGCGCCCACTGCGCGTCGCACGGCTGGGCCACCTGCACACGGCCTTCCAGGACGAACCTGTCTCAGGGGCGCGCACACACACGGGTGTGCCGTCACGAGCGCTGGAGCGGGCACCTGCCGATTGTGAGCACTGACCGCTATGGTTGGTGCCTGCTGATGTCTAATGCAACCCACGCAACCAATAACCTTTCTTTAAAACCAGGCAAGTGCCTGTCGAGCCAGGAAGCTCAAGAGCAGGCTGGGATTTAAAACACACAAATAATTAAAAGGTGCAACGTTCAGTTCGAAAATGAGCGAAAATGCAATGCAATGAACATGCAGCAAATAATATTCATCGTAGTTCACTCAAACTTGGGAAGTCAGCATGACCAATGCTAAAATATGCTACCACACCTTTCTATTGCTTCATTTTGCTTGACCCAGTAGCTGTTGCAAAAATCAACACCCAATCTTACTAGATCTGCTCTTGCAGTTGCCAATAATTTAGCACGGTTGCCAACCTCTTCAATACTACCAAATGCAAACTCTTCATTATAACATCTACAATTCTATTCTTAGTTTTTTCGGTAAAGTCACGTTGAAGAGAAACAACAAAATAACAAAATATATATAAAACAATAAAAAATTCTCACGACGTTTCGACCATAACTCAAACGGTCATCATCAGGTGTGTCGGTTTGCATACATTTATTTTGAAAGCGGCATATTTATTTATTTATATATATATAAATAAATAACGTTTGCGTCACGCGCAACGATGGCAGTTTGCCAGGACTAGTCCATCTATTTTTTGAAAAGAGGAGGGGGGAGACGAAATTTGTTTTTATGTATGCTGTCTGAAAGGCACTGTAAGCGTGAACAATCAATCAAGAACTGAAATGATTTATCAAATCTTTCCAATGATTGCTAAGATAGAATCCATCTTCTCGGTTGAAATTGTCTCTGTGTTTGTATATGTGGATAGCCTCATGAACGAATCTCTCATGGAAGCCAGATGGCTTACAAAGAACCTCCGTCTTGGAAAAGTCAATGGCATGTGAGCCTACTGAATTAGAACAATGATCTGCTACGGCCGAGGTGTTGGTCCTACCGTGTTTAAGGTCTGCTTTATGTTCACGAATGCGGTCCGAGATATGGCGTTTGGTTTCTCCAATGTAACTACTACCACAGAGGCAACTTAGTTTGTAGACACCAGGGTATTGTATGTCCGGAATCACATCTTTTACAGACGGAACCAGATCACGGATTTTATGTAATGTGTTGAAACGGACCTGGATCTTGTGTTTATTCAAGATTTTGGAGATCTTTTTTGTGATCCCAGCAATGTAGGGTAAAGTGATGGTTTTGAAAGGCTCCTCAAGAGGGTTCTTCTTCATGGTTTGAGTGATAGCTTTGCGGATTGTATAGTCGGAGTAACCATTAGCCCTAAGAGCTTGGTGTACGTGCTTGAGTTCACTGCTTATGTGTTCCTGGTCGGATATGCATTGGGCTCTATGATACAGAGTCTTGATGAGAGAATTCTTCTGTGATGGATGGTGGTGGGAATCCGGTTTCAGATAAGCATCCGTATGGGTAGCTTTCCTGTAGACAGAGTGGCTCATTGAACCATCAGGTCTATTTTTAATTAGGACATCCAAAAAAGGTATCTTGCCATCTATTTCGACTTCCAGGTCCGTTTCAACACATTACATAAAATCCGTGATCTGGTTCCGTCTGTAAAAGATGTGATTCCGGACATACAATACCCTGGTGTCTACAAACTAAGTTGCCTCTGTGGTAGTAGTTACATTGGAGAAACCAAACGCCATATCTCGGACCGCATTCGTGAACATAAAGCAGACCTTAAACACGGTAGGACCAACACCTCGGCCGTAGCAGATCATTGTTCTAATTCAGTAGGCTCACATGCCATTGACTTTTCCAAGACGGAGGTTCTTTGTAAGCCATCTGGCTTCCATGAGAGATTCGTTCATGAGGCTATCCACATATACAAACACAGAGACAATTTCAACCGAGAAGATGGATTCTATCTTAGCAATCATTGGAAAGATTTGATAAATCATTTCAGTTCTTGATTGATTGTTCACGCTTACAGTGCCTTTCAGACAGCATACATAAAAACAAATTTCGTCTCCCCCCTCCTCTTTTCAAAAAATAGATGGACTAGTCCTGGCAAACTGCCATCGTTGCGAGTGACGCAAACGTTATTTTTATATAAATAAATAAATATGCCGTTTTCAAAATAAATGTATGCAAACCGACACACCTGATGATGACCGTTTGAGTTATGGTCGAAACGTCGTGAGAATTTTTTATTGTTTTATATATATTTTGTTATTTTGTTGTTTCTCTTCAACGTGACTTTACCGAAAAAACTAAGAATATGAATTACTGCAGTCACGAAAGCTTTAAATCAAAATCTACAATTCTCTTTTCCAGTATTAAAAATCTACTTCTCTCACCTGTGAAGTAACACAGACGTTACTCCTGTCTCAAACGGTCATACAGTAAAACCTTGGATTACAAGCATATTTCGTTCCGGAAACGTGTTGTAATCCTAAGCACTCGTATATCAAAGCACTCGTATATCAGTTGTGATCACGTGACGCTCGGCAGACAAAGTGTATACATACTACTCGTATTGCAAGACCTCGCTCGTTTATTAAATTAATATTTATTTAAAAATTTTGCTCGTCTTGCAAAACACTCGCAGACCAAGTTACTCGCAATCCAAGGTTTTACTGTATTTTAATTCTAAAGTTGACCTCTACTCTTCTCAAGTCATGCAAACACCCGAAAGTAAATCTTAAAGTATAAAGTCGAGAGATAATATAACACAATATTTGTGAAATGTGTGTACGTATATTCATTTACTCTTGCCGAATGTAACACATTTTCAAGTAAGTGCCGATGCATTACACATTCATAAGAGAATGTGAATGTGATGTATAATGCATTGAATATATATACGGGAACGGTTGTGTGAAAATTCAGATAAAACACCCCAGAATACTGAACCATGAAACAAAATTTTATCCATAAATCTTTCTTTATCCTTGGTCGATATTTGTAAAGGAATGTAATGTATAACGAAACAATGCTATAGCTTATTTATTCCAAATGACATATGTAACAACCCAGGGAATTGCATCTAAAACCAGAATATTATTATATTCCAATGGTGGCATCCCGGGGTGGATTTGTGGTGCACTGTGCTATGAACCTGGCGACCTGTGTTCGATTCCAGGCCACGGCTAACATCAAGCGGTGAGTGTTATCTAAACCGGTCCTGAACCTCCCCCACATCCATCTCAACCCGCACTCACCAGCATGGTCAGTGCGGTGGCGATATGTTAGTTGCCTCACCTGGTATACAGGAGGGCATGGGTTCGATCCCGACCCTGATGACTGCATATTTGGAGTTTGCATGTTCTCCCCATGGCCGCGTGGATTTTTCTCCGGGTCCTCCGGATTTTCACTCCACATTTAAAATCAACATCATGCGTTGAGAGTATTTGGCTGCTAGAAATGTCCACGCGGTGAGCCACTTCGTTGAGCTATCATTTGTGATAGCCAAGATTCTTCTGCAAAAAGAGCTCTGTAGCTCATTGAACCTTACCTGGTAAAATAAAAAAAAAGTTTTAGTTTTTTAGTTTACGGTCAAACAGCTCCCATGACCAATACAGTGTGGACAGGTCTTCTTACCCAGCAGCGAATTGACAGTGGGCTGCAAAGTAATTTTCGTCATATAGCACTTTAAGGCATGCCAATGTACATAAAGCAATGTTTTGATATTTATTTTCAGATAAGGTTATATTTTAATTATTTACACTTTAAAATAACAGTGGCGGCTATAATCCCAGGTGTACGTGGTACTGGATGCATTCCCTGTCGGGAATTTGCCTTGCACTGAAGGCTTACCTGTCAAATTGAAAGGCTCATAGAAGTCTCTTTTAGCCAATGAAAGGCCAGGAATTTTTATTAATGATTATCTGAAAGGGGCTCCAGTATTCATACTTGCTCATGTCTGAGAAACATACAATCCAATTAAATATTTCCCTTCTGTCTCCTGCACATCAGGACTACCACTGTGCTCGATGGAGTGTTGCATGTGTTTCTAATCTAAGGGCTTCTCCGTATTAAACGGCACAGGTATGCATGCATGTACGTAGCCAAACGCGCTCATCTTGATTACATTTTGTTAATGTAATCGTGTTAATTTAATCGCGTTAATTTAATCGTTTTCATTTAATCTTGTTATTTTAATCGTGTAAATTTAATCTTGTTAATTTAATTTTGTTAATTAAATCGTGTTGATTTAATCGTCTTAATTTAATCTTAATTAAATCGTGTTGATGTAATCGTGATGTAATCGTGTTGATTTAATCGTGTTAATTTAATCACGCACGTGCCCATCTTATTTGCAGGCAATCTTGAAAAGCGCTCAAAACTCAGACGCAATCCAACCCCCCCCCCCCGCGCGCCCCACCCCCCGGGGGCCGGCTCTACCTGGTGCGCCCCCAGTCCCAGCGGGTGCTGCTGATCGCGATCTCCCGCAGCTCCAGCGTCTCCAGGTCGCGGGGGCTCTTTTGCCGCCTGCCGCTGTCCCTGCGGAAGGGCCTCCAGGCGGGGCCCGCGGCGCCGCCGTGGCCCTCCGCGAAGCGCGTCAGGCGGTCCATGTGCTCCAGGTGGGACTGCACCAGCCGCTTGGCGCACACGAGCGCCGCCCGGTCCCCGCGGTCGCGTGCGCCCCGACCGCCGGGATCCTGCTCGCCGCCGGGGGTCACCGCGCTAACGCCGCCGCCGGCGCCGCCGCCGTTGCCGTTGCTGTCGATGTCGTCGATGTCGTCGTTTTCGTCGTTGTCTCGGTCGCTGTTGCCGCGGTGACCGTGCGCGGTAGCCGTGGTGCCTGCGAGCCGGGTGAAGAGCAGCGGGTACTTGGTGATGCGCTGCAGGGGTGCCATGAGGAAGGAGCGTAGGTGCATGCGGCGCAGCGCCGGGTTCTCCTTCTGGGAGACGTCCAGGAATATCCTGCTCACGCACAAAGACGAGGATAAAATCGCCCGTATTGCCTTTACAGACTGCAGGGGCAAGTGCTGTTAACGAGCACCTATTAAGGCCGGCACGGCACAAGATGGGGTGGGTGGCCAGCACCGCTTTTGTCTCCCTAGGCGCTCAGGCCCAGGACCAGTTCAGATAATCATCACTGGTGTGGGCTGTGAGCGAGAATTGAACTTGGGTCAATGGGTTCGTAGCACAGCGCGCTAACCGCTACGCCACCACTCACACGCACACAGATCCATGCACATGAGCATGCACGAAAGTATTCATGAATAGTATCGACATCCAGATCATTTCCTTGTAACCCTAACCAGTTGAAAAATACACTTTTTTATATTTGCCTTTAAAGATTAATTCACAAATAATTCCACTTCTGGATGAAGGCATCCTCACGCTGTGCCAGTCAAGAGGGTTTGTTTGACCGTACTTCACCATGTTGGTCATTGCGGGTTTGGGAAAGAGGTCATCTCAAGTCGTCAGAACTACCGCGCGGACACCGTTAAGAGTAAGGGCCTCCCCACGCGAGCCCTACCGGAGCAGCTCTTTCTCCCTCTCCAGATTGGCGAGTGTCTGCAGGGCTTCCGTCTGCCTCAGGCAATATGTGCGGAACGCCGGTAGCATGGCCAGCGACTCCAGGAAGATCTCTCCCACGTGCACGCTCACATAATCCGCATCCCCCTGTAAGGCGGAGGAGGAGGCGGAGTCGGCGCCCCTGCTCGTTACGAAACAATTCTCGTTCATCACGTTCGTCGTTTCACAGGAATCCTTTTCGACAGACTATTAAATGCCAATCAAGTTCATTTGGTAGAAAATTATATGAGTACACTTTACAAAGTATATGAATGTACTGCGATACACATTTATCTCTGTGTGAGAGCTCCATTCCTACACACATTAGCCGGCATATCTCTCACGGTAAGTAGATAATTTTATTACGTAGTACAAAGTGTTCGCTTCGAGGGAATAAATGGCAAGATTTACAGTGAGGGAAAAAAGTATTTGATCCCCTGCTGATTTTGTACGTTTGCCCACTGACAAAGAAATGATCAGTCTATAATTTTGATGGTAGGTTTATTTGAACAGTGAGAGACAGAATAACAACAACAAAATCCGAAAAACGCATGTCAAAAATGTCATAAATTGATTTGCATTTTAATGAGGGAAATAAGTATTTGACCCCCTCTCAATCAGAAAGATTTCTGGCTCCCAGGTGTCTTTTATACAGGTAACGAGCTGAGATTAGGAGCACACTCTTAAAGGGAGTGCTCCTAATCTCAGCTCGTTACCTGTATAAAAGACACCTGTCCACAGAAGCAATCAATCAATAAATAAGATTCCAAACTCTCCACCATGGCCAACACCAAAGAGCTCTCCAAGGATGTCAGGGACAAGATCGTAGACCTACACAAGGCTGGAATGGGCTACAAGACCATTGCCAAGCAGGTTGGTGAGAAGGTGACAACAGTTGGTGCAATTATTCGCAAATGGAAGAAACACAAAATAACTGTCAATCTCTCTCGGCCTGGGGCTCCATGCAAGATCTCACCTCGTGGAGTTACAATGATCATGAGAACGGTGAGGAATCAGCCCAGAACTACACGGGAGGATCTTGTCAATGATCTCAAGACAGCTGGGACCATAGTCACTAAGAAAACAATAGGTAACACTACTTCAAAGGACAACTGGGTGAAAGTGTTGTGGTCAGATGAGACCAAAATGGAGATTTGGCATCAATTCAACTCGCCGTGTTTGGAGGAGGAATGCCGCCTATGACCCCAAGAACACCATCCCCACCGTCAAACATGGTGGTGGAAACATCATGCTTTGGGGTTGTTTTTCTGCTACGGGGACAGGACAACTTCACCGCATCAAAGGGACGATGGACCGGGCCATGTACTGTCAAATCTTTGGCGAGAACCTCCTTCCATCAGCCAGGGCATTTAAAATGGGTCGTGGATGGGTATTCCAGCATTACAATGACCCAAAACACACGGCCAAGGCAACAAAGGAGTGGCTCAAGAAGAAGCATATTAAGGTCCTGGAGTGGCCTAGCCAGTCTCCAGACCTTAATCCCATAGAAAATCTGTGGAGGGAGCTGAAGGTTCGAGTTGCCAAACGTCAGCCTCGAAACCTTAATGACTTGGAGAAGATCTGCAAAGAGGAGTGGGACAAAATCCCTCCTGAGATGTGTGCAAACCTGGTGGCCAACTACAGAAAACGTCTGACCTCTGTGATTGCCAACAAGGGTTTTGCCACCAAGTACTAAGTCATGTTTTGCAGAGGGGTCAAATACTTATTTCCCTCATTAAAATGCAAATCAATTTATAACATTATTGACATGCGTTTTTCTGGATTTGTTGTTGTTATTCTGTCTCTCACTGTTCAAATAAACCTACCATTAAAATTATAGACTGATCATTTCTTTGTCAGTGGGCAAACGTACAAAATCAGCAGGGGATCAAATACTTTTTACCCTCACTGTATACTAATAGACGTCACTCAACATCACCGTACGATTCGCATGGGTGTGATTCACAGGTTCTTTCCTTGTATCTCTGTATACCTGTGGGGACAAATGCGTGTGTGTGTGATGACGTCTTTATCATCATCAGCCACAATAGATCCACTCATGCATGAAGGCCTTCCCAAGATGTCGCCATCTCTCACGAACTTGTGGTGCGAAAATCTTTGAGCTTCTGCGCGTGACCTGATTTCGTCGCTCTGTCTCCGTAATGGGCGTCCATCACGGGTAGGGTTTACTCCTTTCGCTGTCACTATCATTCGTCTTGTATGTTATGTTGAACTTCTTCCCACCGCACGTAGGAAACCGTGCTAATCGGAGGTGTGGATCTAGGTGCTAATCTTGTTCCTTCCAGCAATGTGTCCTGCCCAAGCCCTCTTACTCTTCTTAACAAACTATGTCAAGATTATTTCCTGCATATGTTCTATAATTCTGTGTGTTGGCCTTCTGGTGTGTCACTCCAACATATTTTTTTAAAAAAATTGCGAACCTGCTATAACGACAATGAATTATATAAGGTTAACGCACTGTAAATTAATAAACTCATTAATAGACGAGTTATGTATAACCTCTCCTTGGAGATACTGAATAAAGGAAGACAAAAGCCCGTAGAACAAACAGCCTGTGTAGCCACATGACTGCCAAAGCTATATTCGGTGGTGTTTAACATGAGCTTAAAGCCTTATTAATTATGGAAAAAAATAACATTTTAAAGTGACTTAAAGGCACTCCAGTAATGTCACTAAAATAAATAATGCATTTGAATTGTATGGCAATCAGCCACAGTGTGGTCACGGAACCCGCTCTGGACAGCCGTCCATACAAGCCTCGGCGTGCAACCATACGATTCTTTTACGGGTTGCATCCTTCTTCCTTTAAAATATTTAATAGGAAACGTGAATAGAGGATCAGGCACAAACCACATCTATAGGTAACATAAATTACAATCAGTCCTAACCCTATACTTGATATACGGCAGTTACATTCACCCAGCGAATGGCAGACGGTGATGGCAGGTGTGCTGACATCAGCAGCATTGTCTGCGGCCACCCTCTTGACCTTGACATTTTCCGGGAGTCAAGTTTCACACGTGGGAGCTACCAATAAACTGCCCAAGAACCATTACCGGGATGCAATGAAAAGAAGCACCCGAGTGACTTCGGCGTGACATTTGGCGTGGCCCCTGTGCGCGTCTCGCAATCCGACCTGGCTGTGCGCGCGGCCGATGGCTTGCTGCAGCCTTGTCGTGAACCTGCCGTTGGCCTCCACGAGCTGCGCCAGGTTTCCGAACACGGTGTGCAGCTGCTCCGACGTGAGCAGCCCGGCCGCCTGCATGGGCCGGTAAAACTCGTCACGGATCACGCGCAGGTCCTCGCCGTAGCTCAGCTCCGTCTTCACGAACTCCATCACCGCCTCCTTCCTCTCCCGCCGCCACTTCCTGCACCGCTCGCACACGGGGACTCCTCGCGGCGCCGCGCTCCCTCCTCCCTCTTCTCCGCGGCGCATCGTCGCCGTCGCGCGTGCCGCGGCCGCCCCCGGCTTCCCGTCGTCCGCCAGCTCGCGCCCGCAGTCCACGCAGGCGCCCGACTCTTGCTCCTCCGCCGCCTTCTCCCCGTTGAGCTGCGCGTCCGCGACCCAGACCTTGGACCAGCCGGAAGCCGGGTCGTCCCTCCCCTCGGCCTCGCCATTGTCGTGATCCGGCTCGGCGAGGGCCTGAGCCCACGCCCGGTCGGAGCTCGCGTCTGGCGCACGGGCGGCGTGCCTGCCACGAGGCACCGCGGGCGGCGAGGTCCGCGCGCGGTATTTGCCGGTCAGGTGCTGCCCCACCTCGGAGCCGAGGCCGCTGTCCGCACGCTCCACCTCCGCGCTTCTCGTCGCGGTTGCCGACGACGACGGTGCCGCCGCCGCCGCCGCCGCCGCCGCCCCCGCTACCTCCGACCGTTCGATGTCGTCATGCAGCCCGACCACCCCGCTGTCGACGCTGGCGTTGCTCGCCCGACTCTGCCTGTTGCTGCGAGGTGACGCCGCCCTTTCCATGCCGCCGCCGCCGCCGCCTTCCGCTCCTTCGCCGCCATCATCGCCGCCATCGGCCACGCGGCTGCTTCCACCGTTGCCAGAACTTCGCTGCCGCAGGGGGCTCCACAAGGCCTCGCCTCCACCTAAAAATACACGGTTTTATCAAGGTGTCAACGTTGCCTCTGCTACACCAAATGTCTTTCATCGATACATATCAAAGGGAAATTTGTGAATATGTCTGTTCGAAATGTTAAGCATACTTCCCAATATGCAACAAACTTGAAATTTGGCATGTGGGTAGCTTCCAGACTGTACTTTTGTATTTTTTGGGGGGGGGGGCGCAATAATGTATATATTTTTCATGGCAAGTGAGCGGTGACGTCTCATCTGTGATGTCACCCGCATGCGGCAGCGTTACGCAGTGTGCCTGCTGTCGTCACCCACCCCCCCCCCCCCCCCCCTTCCGCATAGGCCGTGTATTAATCCAAAACAAGAATCCAAGTCTCGGGCGAAGCCGGGTAGTAAAGCTAGTTCATAATAATTACAACTCTGCATACATTTGTCAATGCGCATACTGTGTTGGTCATGGGGCGTTGTTGGACTATACCTCACCACACTGGTCAGTGCAGATTAGTAAAGTGGTTGGTACAATTGAGCAGATAAATCCGCACAAATCAAAGTACAAAATTAGAGACAATACCCAAAGCCTATAACCAAGAAAAAAAGAATCAAATGATGACGACGGTAGCAATCGCGATGCTGATGCTGCCACTGCTGATAATGACTTTGCTGCTGCTGATGGATGATGATTCGTACCGGTCCCGGGGGAGTGGCCGGAGTGCGTGTGCCTCCGCTCACGAGTGCGGCCCTCTTGCTTCCTGCCGTTTCGATCGACGGGGGTGGGGTCACTGGGCCGAGAACGCAGCCTGCGAGGGGGCGGCGTGGGGGCCCCCCTTGAGCCACCGTCCACCCACGGCGATGAGCCCGGTATGCCGGGGCTGAGGGCCTAGGGCGACATTGGGCGGAGAGTGTGGAGCTGGAGATCGTTCAGGAAACCGCAAACAATCTGCAACACACTCGACAAGGAAATGTGGACACTGAGCTCGTTGAGTGCAATTAAAGCGGTGTCTGGAATATTTACATGGAATGGCCTTCTTTGAAATGATCTCCTCTCAAAAATGCTGCTTTTGTTCATTTTTATTATGTGGTAGAGGCAATTTTTTTTTGTTTACTTTTAAAAGCTAATATTGTCAACCAGGAGCGGAGCCAGGGGGGGTGACAGGGGTGACATTCTGCGTATAAGTGTACGACACTCGGTCTGGCGGACTCCGTGCAACTGCATTGTCAGAGCGTGTCCGCCAACCGATGGCGTCTAGTTCAACAGCCTGACTCTCTAATCATTCTTGAAATTAAAATTTGTTGAATGTCACCCCGGCCTGAAATCCTGGCTCCACCCCTGTTGTCAACAAGCTTGACAATTAGCACTCTCTATTTTCCAATTTTGTTTGTGTTTTGAAAGTTAAGCAATATTGTAACATGTCTCTTCATAATCCAACATTTAATTACTTAAATGTTTTAAGTGACCAGCTAAAGCATTGCTGAGACTACTTTTACTGTATCATTCACAAACAACATTGCAAATGCACATACATTCACACTACCTCTGGTCAGTATTATATAAGTATAGACGGTTGGCCTCGCCCTGCCCTATTTGATACCGGGGTTCAATGTTAACGAGACAACTTAAACTGCTTAATTTACATTCATCACAATATAATTTTAACAATAATTTACAGGCCTTCATCACCACTGCTGGATGAAGACCTCCCCAGAGGTTGCTTCATCACACTTCAACACGTTGGTTAGTGAAGGTTTAGTGAAGGGGACGGGAGGGGGGGATACCTAGGGCCGGTTGCAGATATCGCTCGCCGCCGATGTTAGCCGTGGCCAAGAATCTAACTCAGGTCACCCGGATTAAGGGTACAGTGTGATAACCACTACCCCACCGCTACACCATAATAATTTAATAAGGGAAACCAAATATAAAAACACACTGTCTACACAATTATAAACATCATTACAATACCCATAACACAACTGCACGTCTCCGTAACAAATTACTTCACCTCCTCTGCGTCATCTGTGCTCGAGCGTTGCAGCGTTGAGGCTGGGCACCACTCTTCGGCTCCGTATGCTCCCAGCCGGCACGGAGCCCTTGCCACCAGCTCCTCCTCTCCCTCTTTGTTCTGTCCCAAGAGGGAGTGATCTTCATCTGCGTTAGGGAACTCCTGCCTCTCCAATGGTCCCTCCAGCTCCTGAAGCATTCCTTCTGCCCGAGGTGCTCCAATGTCCGCTGCTGCCATCCCTGCGTCTTCGCCAGAAGCTAACTCCGGGCACTCGGGTTCATTCTCACCTGCACAGCTGGAGAGCGGCAAAGTGTGCCGACTTACATCAGTGCACGGGGAATCGTAAACTGGCACAGGCTTGCAGGGCACATGTGCAATTCTCGTATGAAGTGGCAGACGTGATGGAAATACAACAAGCAACATCAATGTGGCTGTGTTTCCGAATGAATTGAGAAACACTGGTAGTCTATGCAACAAAAAAAAGCATAAGTACAATTGTCTGCTTTCAATTTGGTAAAAAGAAAATTAAGAAATCTGCTGAACTCAATGTTCTGGTCGAAGACTATAACATTCACAGTGTAATGTATTGTAGATGCTATGAAAGACAAGCAATGCACCGAAAGCTCACGCAAGTTAAATGCAAATCAGAAAGTACTATACAACAAGAAGCTGTGATGCTTCTCAGATGATTCAACAGACGGGGTGGCCACCAGCTTGGCATGGCCGCATTGAGTGTGAGGTCGCCGTGATGTAGGCAAATTGTTACTCTTACTGCAGGAGGTCAAGTGCATCACATGATACAGGATCAATGCATTCTCTTAGGTTTCCTTCAAACCCCTTTCCTTCCATTACACATGCAAGTGTACGCTCCGTGCCAATCTATATTCCACCCTATATTCCACCCCTTCTGAACGACGCAGAAAGTACATTCGTGCTTTACTGAACGGAACTCAAAACCTCTTGATGAAATTCAAGGTGTCTCTCCAGTCTGAGTGACTTTCCTGCTCTTGGACTCGGCTGCATGAAGCCTGCCCCCTTTGGACCTTTTTGGCATTTTTTTTAAATAGTAAGGAAGACGGTGTGGTGCCGTCGTCTGCATCATCATCAAATACGCTAATCATGAGGCTATTTCAGCCATCCCCCATGATGTACCACTGTCCTATACACAAGAAAACTGAACCAAACGGACGGGCAAGGTGGAAATTGCCACAGTACAACGCTACAGCACTGTTTACTGACCAAAATTTAAAGTCCAGCACTTCAATATCATCACAACAAATCACTGTCCCTTTGAGATATCCACAGAGGCTCCCTTATCAAATCCTCAGCACACTTAATTCATCATCAAAATTACATCCCACTTTGACGAGACTAATTGACAAATGCCTTGAGCTGGGGCAAAGCTACAATATCACTTTTCTTCAGTGCTCAAGCAAAACTCAAGCAAGCCCAGAAACCTCGGATGTGTGTTGAAACAGTTTGAGGAGCCCATTGAAATTAATATATTAGTGATTCACTGCGTTCAATGTGCCACACTCACAGGTACAGTAAAGCACTTGCAGGCTTGCCGATTTGCCACTTAGCAATTGAGATTTCCACATTTGTAACGAGCGGAGGTTTTTGCATAAAGCTGGGTCAGCAGTTCCCAAGGGGCTGCGACAGCACTTGATTGGTTTTACAAGAAAGGCGCCCACGTGCGTAAATGTGTGACCGGGTTAGCCTTTTCTGTTGGAAAAAATAAAATAACCCTGCGAGGCGTCCGCCGCACGGCTCAAGGGGCTGACATGATGTCAAATCACTGATCCGGCACCACCGAGATCCTAGTTTGAAATCTTGGGCAGTCACCCTTGAATAAATTTGAATTCTCGAGTGTAAGGGACAATATGGTAGCAGCCCGGTCAAACGTGGAGACTGCTAAAAAAAAAAAACCGTGACATTAATCTTGCTTTGTTACGTAACGCAGCAAACGCTATTTCCGAAGAATACTAAAAACGCTGTATTTACCAAACGATGAACACTAAGGTGGCATCACTGGTGTGGATAACAGATCTGATGAGGGATTTTGGTGGTCGTTTTTTGATGAGGCAAGGTGTGGCAATGCTTTTTTGTAAAGAATGTCGAATCGAATGTTGTTCAGCTCATGACATACCATGCCAAAAGCACAATATAGCTTTAAAAATCCAAGAAAGATAAAAAGCAATCCAAATCAGTGGTAATTGATATTAACCTGCAGAAAAATACACTCCGGTTTAATTACCATGTTAAATGCCGTTTAATGTGACATTGAAACATTTGACGTGCAATGTAAATGTCGTGAAAATGGTTCCCAGAATCGGAGACATGTTTGGGCCATATCCAGTCACTCTATATCATGGTATGTTATCACATCAACCGTGGCTGGGAGTATGGAAAATCTTATGTTCGTTAGCCAAGCAATTATTAAGGTTTTTTTCCCTAATTGACACAAGTCTCTGTATCAAAACTCCAGGACCATTACATTGCTCCCCTAATCAATTTCCCATATGAATGCAACTCCCCTTAATTTTTTTTTTTATTATTTGAGCTCAAGTGTGTCATAGTATGTTCCTTAAACCGTTGTTTTTAAAAAAATGTTTTGGGATTGCATACCAACAAAATTGTAATTGTATGAGAACGCGGAGATACACAGGACTCCTTTAATCAAAATAAAGCTACAGCTAAGGTCCTGTAGCTATTTATTATGACCTAAGTCTGAGGCTTAATTATATTAAATGTCAGCACAGTGCACATAATTAGGGCTTTAACTATGGTATTCAAATAATGAATGCTTTGTTTTCATTGGACAGTCACAACATTGCTTTTATCTCCCAATCATTTAAATAACACTGCAGATATACTGTACTGTTTATGGCAATTCAGCCTTGTAAGTCATTACAATAGTGCTTTTGCACGGGAGTGCACAAATATCCCAAATAAAAAAGCCTACAGTAGGCCATTCCTCTGATTCCTTCATATTTGATGTCTAAACTCCAGTAGTCCAAATTTCTACCACCACCTGCACCCATAATCGAGACCACATCACCCCAACACTCCAGTACCTTCGCTGACTCCCAATCCAGTATTGGATCAACCATAAAATAACCCTCACCTCTGCCTACTTCTCCCACCTAATCTCGCTGTACTCATGAATGCCTCCTGTTGAAGCCCCAAGTCAACCTTCGCACTGTGAGAGGCCAATCCTCCTCCCCTGATGGCTCTGTGGCCTACAACCGAGAAGATGGATTCTGGCTTAGCAATCATTGGAAGTATTTGATAAACCATTTCGGGTCTTAATTGATTGATCACGCTTAAGGTGTCTTTCAGACCGCATCCATTATTTTCGTCTCCCCCCTCCTATTTTCCGAACATAGATGGACTCGTCCATCTGAACAAACTGTCAAATCTCTCTCCGTGGTGCTAACGTAAAAAAAACGCCACTTTTTTCAAATTTGCTTGCTGTGGTTTTCACACCTGATGATGATTGCTTGTGTTGCAGTCGAAACGTCGTGAGAATTTTATTGTTTAATATTTTTATTATTTTATTGTTTCCCTTCTACGTGACTTTACCGAAAGAACCAAGAATATGAATCCCTGCAGTCAAGAAAGCTTTAAATCTATTTTTTTACAATTATGATGTTTACTTGCTGGCCCTGTTCAAGTACAGCTTCCAAGACTCTTCCTCTTCTCCTCTACCTATGACTTTCTTTCTTGTCTCTTTAAAAACTAAATGCAGGGTGTCCGTAAAAGTATCCGTGAATAAAAGAATTCCACGAAAACAGCAAATATTCCTTCTACCAAAGACTTACGTTTATTCAACCAACATGCTTAACTGATGTTCAACAGTACAGAACAGAAGTATTTGAAAGTGTCACAACCAATATGTTGGTGAACACCTGGGATTCTCTCTCATCTCGATACCACGAGTCACCAATAACATGGTGGGCATCTGGAGGCTTAAAGGGATGTAAGTCACATGATTAAATATTCATACTACCAAGTGTGTGTAACTAAGTTTTTTTGATCTGACTAAAACTGCTGCGGAATTATAATGCTTTAATAATGGATGATACATTCATGGACTCCCTGTGCAAGCCTTCTTTTCCCTTTATGCATAACCCATTGTCTTTCATGGTATCTTGAGATGTGGATGCATTTGGTTGCTGCATAGACCCACAATTGTGTTGTGTTTTATGGCAACTCGGCACATCGAGCCCCGCAGCATATAAATTGCTTGGAATTAAAAAAAATGCCGCTTGAAAAACAGAACACTGAACCTCCTGTACTAAAACGTAAGCGTAGGAACAGCTATGCATTATTGAACGTGGATTTAACACAACAATGTTGACAGCACTTGCCACCTTATACCATGCACCATACAGTAGTCAATGACAGTACTCTTTCTATACGGCCAAATACATGACACCGCTCATCTGGCCAATCAAAGTACGTAACAAATGGGACATACACACATCTATGCATAACAGGCGATGTACATAAATGCACAGGAATGTGCCCTCACTTATGACATTGCCAGGATCTCAAATGCACGCAACCCAAGCGAACGCATTCACACCGAATGCACACGGCTGACGTTTGTTGCATCCTCTAGCGCCTTTCTCCACTTACCCGTACGGAGTAAGGTCACCGTGGCATCTGGAGCACGGGCGCAGCTGTTGTAGTTAAAGGAAGCGAGCCCTACTCGGCACAATAACAATTTCACGTTCTGCAGCAGCAGCAGCAGCAGCAACGGCGATGCGCAGAGGAGGGCTGGCATTTCAACGGGCAGGGGTTCCGTGACGGAACACCGCGCGTGTGCGCGCGTGCGTGCGTGCGTAAACTTCCACTGCAGCTGGCATGGGAGATTCCGTAATAAATCGGCACTGCGCTATAGTGTCAGGTTATTGACGGCCGTGTGCCATCGGGACGGTTTCACGGCTCGAGAGCACCCTTATGGGGAGGGAGGTCGCCACCGTGCGGGCACTCGGCTGGCCCGTCGAAATTGTTTCCCCACTCCGGTGCCATGTGATGGCTAATAACGCAGAGCCACTCGAGCCGCCTCCATTGGTCGCAGCCCAGGGATGAAAAGCGGCTCCGCTCGCACAATGCGCAGTGAAGTCTGGCTCCTTGTAGTGGCCACTGAGTCAATTGCAGTGAGTGTGGGAGGGTCAATTTACGCTGAATAAACCAGAGCACAACGTAACTCTATGACAACGTATTAAAGTTTTTGATGCGTAAAAAAAGGTAATTTTTTTTAAAGTTAAGATTTTTTCTTGTAACACCAAATTGATTTAGAAATGTAAATATATGGCAGATATGCTCCAATTATTGCACAAGGACTTTGAGTACATTGTAAAATGCTTTAATACAGCATTACGGCATTGGTAGAATTGTTTTATGGTAGTTCAACATTTGGGGAGACTTGTAATATGGATGTATCTGACAAACATCATTAATATTTTAAATCCACAGCTTTTAATTGGAAAGGCTGTCATTGTTAATGAACAGCAGAAATATGAAAATCGTCCTCAAGAATAGTTATCGTTCTCATTTTCAAGCATTAACATTAATCGTATTACATTACTAATCGACAAATTAGTTTTCACTTTAAATCAATATAACTTAATACAACACAGAGCTTTAGTCGGTTACGAATTGTAAATCCCGCATTTCTAAAGCTGCTTACTAGACGTGTGAAAAAGAGCTTCATAGCTCATCGGATTTATCCAGGATGAATAAAGATTCCGATTTCTGCTTTGTCACTACTAGTTAAATCTGAAAAGCAGAAATCCACGACGAACATTTACACGTACGGAATACTGTGCGCACATGAACTCTCACCTCTTCCGAAGGAGGTGGATGGCCGAGCCGAGGATGTCAGTCTTCATGCGCTGCAGGCAGGTCGTGTAGTCAGTGAGCCCAGGGCTGGGTCCCAGCAGGCAGCAGCTCGCCACCGAACTCCGCCGCTCGCCATCCGCGCCTTCCACCCGACCCTCGCCCACACTCGCCGCTCCCGAGGGCCCTTCTTTACCATTCCCGGTGCTTCCCAGAATCCCTTCCGTGGCGCCTACTCTCCGCCCGTCCCTCAGGACTTTGGTCACCTGCCCCTCCATCATCCCGAGCCCTGCAGGTGGCTCTCCGTGGCCCTGCTGCTCAGGACGATGCCCCGGTCGCCTTCCTGTCCTGCCTGCCAGTGGGGTCACCTGCTGCGTGACAGGTATAGATATGGCACCGTGTCCATACGTGGGCCCATGCAACAATGATCCCCTGGGGTTAGTAGCAAATCCACGGCGATCGTGGTCAATGGAAACATGTTGATCTTTCTGAGTGTCTTCCCATACGGTCACAGTTTCCTTCCCTTTGGCCCAAACTCTGCCACAGTCAGACTCTGTGGTCATAACGTCCAACACACCATCACCCTTTTGTGTCCGGCATTGTGCTAATTCTGTGTAATTTAACGGTGCCGTGAGTCCAAAGTGCTTTTGATTAGAATCAATGTGCCCTTCAATGCTTCTCCCACCACCTGTGCTTTCGTCGCGAGAATGTCCACTGGTTTTCCCCACGTCAGTTTCGTAATCAGAAACCTCGTCATTCAGGCCCTCAGGCTGAACTACTGTCACCATCTTAAGGGCACTTTCCTGTTGACGCCTCATCCTCTTAAACTCTTCAAATGTTGGAATGTACAACCGGCCTCTTGGATATCGCTGCCGGGGAGACACGGGCTCACTGTGCCAACATGTTAAGACTTCTGCAGAAGGGCAAGCCAAGAGTGTTTCTCGTGGTTCAGTGTCGACTACATTAGCTGCTGCGTTGTCACGGCCCAAACGCGTAAGATCGGGGCTGCTCTTCTGTCTCCGGATGTGGAACCGCCGCAGGGCCTGCCTCTTGATCTCGGCCGGCGTGCAGCTCAAGTAGTTAGAGGTGGATGTGGAGGAGCAGGGGCCATGAGATGGCTTTCCTCCCTCGGGGTTCAGTCGTTGTTTTCCAGCCAATTTTCCCGCTGAATCACCACGATGGTCAGCGTCAGTGTCTTCCAAACAAAGCACCGTCTTCCCACAACTGGGGTGAGTGACCGATACGGCTGGGTTTTGTGGGCGAATGGGACTGGCGGCCATGGCGACTTTGTTGCTGTTCTGCCTGAGTTTCTCCTTGATCATCTCGCGCATGCGGTCTGTGGGCCAGGCATGCACGTCTAGCGCCACCAAGGGCAACGGTTCCAGCAGTGAATCCGCAAGAGTGGCGGGCCTTCCCTCCCTGCCCGCGCTCGTTGCGGGACATACTTGTTCGTCAAGCTGTATGCACTCTTCCAGCTGGTCCTTGAGTTGAATGTTGGGGACGTGGAAAATCCCGTGGTCTATATTCATAGCTTTTATCAGTGGATTCTTATCTGTTGGACATCCTCCAGTAACGCCGTCTCCGACTGGGAACGTCGGTACCGAGTCCTATGTCTTGGCCGGCGAGCTTCATATGGCCTCACTTTTAGTTCCAGAAAGTGCTGAAAGAACAAAATTTGCATTTGGCATTGTATTAGACCATTGCTATTATATTGGTGTACACCGTACAGAATGTATAGGTCTGCACCGTTAAGGGGAATCTTGGCAAGCAGCCCAATTTCCACTCCCCTTCCCCCAACACTCCCTCATGCAGCTGCATTAATTGCAGGACCAGTTTGAGAGGGACATGCGAGAGAGAATGTGTTTGATATGGCAGGCGTGCGGCAGGGCATGTTCAGCAGATGCCATGGGTGTGCATAAATTTCCATGGCAATATCGCTGTCTGCCTGCACACCTGGGGTCAGGGGCCTTCCCGAGGGATTACACCCCTAACGTGCCATCTGTTTACAGCCCCTCTAGAACGGTAACAGAGACGTCGTCACACTGCATGTCAGCGTTTTGTAAAATCCATATGCCAAAACAATTTCATACATCCTTGAAATGTTTTACGATAGTTGCAGTTAATCAACTGCTGTTGTCCATTTATTTTGGAAAGTTGAGTATCGTATTCTGACTTAATTTAATTACCAACATGGCCTTACGGATTTTTGGAATCTGAAAATATACATCATGAGCCATTACCAAGGATTTTACAGTTTAGCTATTTTCATTTCCATATTTGCTTCTCATTTTACGTCTTAAGCTGTAACGATAGATTTGTATACAAAAAACATCACACACACACACACAAGAGTTATATATTATAGCATATTTTCCAAACCTGAAATAACCCTGAGCACATCATAAATCATACATTCAGACACACACAAAAAAGAACACTCGAATACAAATTTCAAAACGCACACTCTCTTCTCTGTCACTCATGCCAATGTACTGGGAACAATCCAACGCGACAGAGAAGCATGCGTTTACTCGTCAGAGTTGGCAAATTAATGAATCCACCCCAACCATTCTGTGCCATCCCCAAATTACCTTCTCCTCACCTCACTGCCAAAGTTGTAACCGGATGACTCAGAACAGGCAGTGAAACGGCAAACCTAGAAGGCTCTCACACAGCAAGCAAAGGCTCAGATAGTATATTACATTACTGCCCATCAATCAATCGTGTGTGTTTAGCACAATGTGGAATCCCATACAGGCACGATGTCTCTTTTTCAGATAAGTCTGGGCATCCCGAAATAAAATAGGCGGTCATTTAGTAAGCCTGTATGCAGCTGCAGTTTATTTTTCCCTTAGTTATTCATTTTAATCAACATTCACTTTAATGAACAAATGATATAATGCACACTCTATCCAGGCTGTTGTTACTGCATAGGTTTTCTCACAGAAACACGGCATTCGTGTTATTTTGCTGAAATATAACGGTTGGTACAGACGAACAACAATAACGATTTTAAATACATTTATATCCTGGCAAATCATATAGGGTTTATGACAAAAATCTGCATTACTTTGAGCTATAAAGCTGCTTAATGGTAGGGGGGGGGGGTTTGTCCTGAATCAATTTCTGATAACATTTAAGCTGTTCTGGGAATGTACTTAATCAATTGTAAATTTACTGAAAAATTATTGGTTCCTGCCTTTCCCTGTAACAATCCAATCCACTGCTGTATGAAGGCATCCCAACACCGTGTATAAGTCACGGTGGTGTTTGACTTTCCTTTACCACACCGGTCAGCCCGGATGGTTCAGATATCACTTGCCACTGGTGTTTTAGCCTGAACCGGCAATCAAACTCAGATTTCTAGGTTTAGAGCGCAGTGCGCTAACCACTGCGCTACCGCTGCACCCGCTGTATTTGATGTGATGTGCTGTATGCATAGGGTGGGGGGTGCGGCGATGCAGTGTCTACCACGATCCCAACGACCTGACAGTTCACGGCCACATCAGTGGTGAGCGATATTCGAACTGTTCATGGGGCCTCCTCACCTTCACCGAGCTCCACCGGCTAGCCCGGTGAAGTACACTCAATTAGCCACCGTGACTAACGGACAGCCACCGAGGTTTTTGGGAGGCCTTCAGCCAGTTGTGGATTTAAAGACGGCTGAAAAATATTATCACTATTATTGGAAAACATAAGAAAGAAATGTGTACAGCATTATATGATTGTTAATTGATTTTCGTGTTTTGAAAATCAATTAACAAAACTTGTACGTTTTTATAAAACTGCATACGTTGCAACCGATTTGTTTCCGCTATATGACATTTGCAGCCTTTTACAACGTTTAATGGGTTGCATACAGTTATCACGATGTTATTAAGTATGTCAATAATTCACAACGATAAATAAAACGCCAGACGAAAATCTTTTGCAAAAAAGCTAGTGCAATGGATTTACTTTGACAAGAATGTATCCCTTCAACTGACAGCCTCCATCAGGATACTTGTGTAACAATGACAAGTGTTTCGTGTATTCATCCTCTAAGTGTTTTCTGGGTTTGATCTTCCACGAAGCTCATGGTCCGGTCTTAAACAACATCCGCAGAAACAATGCCAGATTGCGGATACCCGATGCACAAATGGAACATTTAAAAAAAATCTCCAGTGTGCGACTGTGGTCATCCAGAACAGACCACACAACGTAATCACGACGCAATTCCCGGTCCACAAATACGAAGGAGACTTAAGCAGCGATGCACTCCGCTCCTCCTGACACGGTTGTCTGGCTTGACCACCTGGATGTGAAATTGTGGTTGATGCTCTGCATCTACATGAGCCATAACCACAGGAATAAGAAGCCTTCCCAGTTCTTATATACAGTGTCACAGGTACCACAAATAAAGCGTGAAAGGCGTCAATTGTTTATTTAATAGCCTATTTTGGATGCATTTTCCAAAGGTCACCATTGATGCATTCAGCATAACTTAATTGTGACCTAATAGCACTATATAAATTGATATGAATGCAGAGTGCATGTGACACATAAACTTGCTGCTCATTACATTAAACCCACTACCACTCTGCGACACAACCCCCGGCCTCCAGAGGCAAAAAGCCTCGATTCACAAGACGCACAAATTCACCCACATGACCCACATCAGCGCACGACGCACCTTTGTTCCGCAATCATTTATCTCACGTGCACGGAGGAAGTTGTACGTTTACACTGGCCAGCATCCAACCACGCGGCGAAGGCAAAGGAAAGGTGCTCTCAGCACCACGGGCAAACACACGCCAATGCACTCACCCAAGGTCACGCACGGGTCTCAAGCAGCCCGAAGCTGTCTCCTCTCTCAGGTGTGCTCTCTCTCGCTCCGCTACATGCTACCTGTACAGTAAACGGAACACCCGACTCTCCCCTTTTGTTTGGGGAAACCATGAGCTTCGCTGCCATGGAGATGGCTAAGCGAGAGTGTCTGATTGCAGATGCTGTCTGACCCCCCCCCCCTCTCGCCTTGGCGTGCAGAGCCGGGTGCCTGTGTGTGTGACAATGCAAGGCAATTGCTCTTTGCTTTTTAAGTTCGCCAGTTACCCTGCCACCGCCTCCCACGGGGCCTTGAAAACAAACACAAATTCACGGGACACTGTCGGACAAAGCGGTGCAATAAAGTGTGCTCCGTGGTTCTCGACCGAACTTTGTTTTTCATCTTTCTTGGCTGGTTAACGGTCACGTGAATATGCGGGGTTTTTTTTTTCAAATATAAAGTTCGGTCGAGAAGCACGGAGCACACGCGTGCCTGCAGGCCCGTTTTATGATGAGGCCCCGTCAGCTCCTCATAAGACATTTCTCAGAGAAACCACTTGCTGCTTTGGCCATGGGTTTGGTACTCAGAGATTACTCAAATTAGTATGTTTGCGCAGGAATAATTTTGGTACTGATTTCACGGCAAAGTATTTACCCCAAAATATTTGTGTACAATTCAATCCAAGGTATTATATTTGAATTTTGTTTGAGGATGGTACGTTAATGAATTATGGCAGATGCAATCCCAAATTGGGTAATTTTGCCATGAATTATAATTTTGTAGTGAGACACTTCAGCAAAATTGGGTCGCAAATTGCAGTGAGTTGTGCACGAATGTGACGTGTTGGAAATGGCATTCTATATTACTTAAGCGTACAATAAATTGCTTACAAAAAACCCATGCTAAAACATGTGAAAATTTGTACTTTATGAAAGCTATTGTATGTATGTTCAACTTCTTTGGCACGTACGGAGCCAACCGCTCTAATCAGAGGTTCAGGAGTACTACAAACTGAACACCACGAAAAAAACTCTTAAAACGCTGACACGTTTTCACAAGTCTGTCTTACCAAAAAAAATGAGTTTGTCCTTCACGATACTCATTTGTATTTTGGAATATAAAACTCAAACGGTATCAGCATAAAGATACTGTGCAATGAGAATCACCATCAATCACCATTTGAGCCACCAGGCACCCATTATCATGTCACCAAAAACCCTGAGTGCTGGTGACAAGAACGTTGAGGAAAAGAGAGGCTTTTAGGGGCTTCTGCCTGTAGCCATCTTACAGTGACCAGCCTCAGCAGGAGCCAAAACCAATCAATCAAAATTCTATTCCCCATGGAAGGGCAGCCACTAATTAAGCACCTGCCCACACGAGAAATGCCTTGAGGTGGGTGTGGTTGAAATGCCCAAGATGGGTTCTGGTCATGCGCCCATTCTCTCACAATTCCCTGGCCCCCCTCCCCTCTCACTCCGAGTGGGGCCTTGGCACACATGGTTGTGCAGGGAAACGCAGCAGACAAAGCCCTTCTTCACATCCATCAATCTCATCCTAAAGACCCTTAACATTTGCTTACGCTCGCATTTAGCACGTAACCGCCGACAGTGTTAAGAAGGCAAGATTTCACGTGAAATACTTGGAATCTGACTTCAACAATTCTGCTTCGACTAGATTTCCATTATAACAAAGGATTAATGTAAGGCACTCAATGGCCGTTTTGGGCTATGCTTCAATGAATGTGACGCTTAAATAGGTTCAATACATAGTTTGCTAATTGTGCAATATTCCTTAAGGGCCCTGCACCCGTCCTCTGCAATATCGATGTTGTTTGTATTTGTCTTGTTGACATTACTGTGCTCATGGCACCACGGATCTCCCTTGCAAATTATCCAGGCAAACGTCAAAAACGGCATCATCCGTGTAACAAATCAACTCAAACGGGAATTTTGCTTGCATTTAGTGAACATAACCCCTGTGAAAACTCGGATAACTCATGTAGCCTTGTTGTGCGCCAACTCGTACGTGACGTTGGCTCGTGTTTGTGCTTTTTTTTTCCTTCTATAGACGAGCTTCTTTTTTTCTCCTCTTGTGACATCAGCCCAGCCCGGGGTGGTTCGCCGTGGTGCAGAGGCCGCGTTCACAAAGACGACGCCGTTGTGTTCCTACGCTTCCATGGTTACCGCCTGGCGACTTGGGTGTTGGGGAACATCATCCGCAACTATAACCCCCGACGCTTTTCATGAAATTACTACTACTACTACGCGTGTGCACAGACACAATCATCGTATCACGCGAGTGTATCGCCACCATGCACGCGCTCTGCCACTGTAGTTCACGCACTAAAATGTATGAACCGTGCAATAATGTCGATATAGGTGGCAGAGCATTTGCCGACAGAGCCCCTGAACTGTTTAGCGAGCTTGCCACGGTCACAGAGGGAGGCGCCTCCCTCTGTTACTTTTTTTTAAAGTAAGATTGAAACTTGTATCGTAGAAAATGTAACGAAAAATTCCGTTTATTTATTTTTCCGTTTCGCATGGTGTTCCTATGAACACTGAGTTGTTATTACGCTACCTTATGCAACTTTTTTTCGACAAATTTTTATATTTTCTTCATCTGCAAGTGACAGTGATGTCACCGCAGCGCCGAGTGCCAGGCTAGGTGGAACACTTAATCCGCAAGCCAAAAATTACAGGAGAAAGTGATGTATAATAATGACTCTATTGGTGTAAGTCACTTCATTAAACATTCCTAACAAAAATGAATATTGTGCTGTTTCAAAGTCTAATTACAGAGTTTTACAAAGTGGCCAAGGAAGTCCGCGCCTTCCTCTGGGTACAGCACCTTTATAATCTCAAGAGATTCTGAGTTCAAAGGTCAGACAGACATCCAATGCAAACAATGTTTTCAAGTGCAGCAAGATATGGCAGTCTTAACTGCAAATGATAATGGACTAACATCTCCCACGCAATATTGAGTTTTTTCTATTTTTTTATTTTGCTGCACTAATTTGTTTTAATTTGAAAACATTTGGCAGGCAAAATTAACGCTTACTTACAGATTCGGAGTGACCTACAAGTTGGGTCGCTGGTTACTGATTGAAACCTTTAGCATTGGTTAAAGTGGAATCAGATTTTAATTATATACGATGAGCTCTTAAGTGTGCATGCTAGTAAAATTTAAAATTATAAAAAAAACTGTAATTTAAAGCAAAGCTACATATTGTGCCTTAAACACAGAACAGACAATAAACACTTATACAATGGTTTGCCATCTCTTTTAAAACATGTATTCAATAACACTAAACGTCCCCTTCAACAGATGGTCATGGTTTAGATATTTAAATCAATAAAAGTCAGGAATTGCCTAATTGCCCAGGTAAAAGGCTCTTGAAGAATGGAGAGCTTGGCATGTTATATTAATGAGCACAAAAGGGACGGCATCACAACATCTTTTCTTACATTCTTTCCGCTCAATTTCCACAAACTTTAATATTGACGAGAAACGTAATAATATTTTACATTACTTAGTCCATTCACTGCTTGGTGAAGGCTTCTCCAAACTGTGATGATCGTGGGGATTGTTTGACCATCCTTCAGATATCGCCCTTGCCACTGATGTTCGTCGTAGCTGAGAAATGAACATAGAACGCTGGATTCACAGCACAATGTGCTAACCTCTGCGTCAATACGCCCACCTAACATTGGCCTAGAAATTGTAATAGAAAGCCATCAATTATGATTTGAACATTGAAAAATGTAAAACAATATTTACTGTACATTTTACGGATGAATTGAACAAACTTTCCTAAAAAATATATACACAGTATATAAACAAGTCTTCCTCAACAAACGCAATAAGCGCTGAAAAGAAAGTTGACAAGCATAAGGTGCCTTCAGCTCCCGTTTTCCCGCAAGATGTCACGTAGTGCCTGAATAGTCACAAATGTGACATCATCATCAGCCATGGTCAATCACCTGCTGAATGAAGGCCTCCCCCAATATGCCGCCAGCTCCCACGATCCCGCGGGGTAAACAATCCACCCAGCACATGCGCGTGAGCTCAATTCAATTGTTCCATCTCCTCGGTTGGTATCCCCGAGGACGCGTCCAAACAAACCTGGTCATTCTGCAGAATCCGCAGAATATGTCCAGAGCAAATTTGTTAAAGTCTGCCAATTCTGCACCATCTTTCCTGCACGTCGTGTCATGTACAGTACGTTGAACTTCTATCGCGCCGTACGTAGCCAACCGTGCTAAGTGGAGGTGTCATGGTTCCACATCATTCATCTTCATCCTAAGATTTTACATCAAGCCTCAAAGCTTGATATTCTGTTCGACTGTCGTGTTATTTTTTTACAGTGGACGTTAATAAAAAAAATTAATACCAGATAATAAGAACAAATGGGTGATATCGGCATGTAGCTAAATGGATCCATGCGAACCAGCATAAAGGCATAATTAAGCTGTATTCTTTAATGTATGTGAACAACTGTATGTAAGTATTAGTGTGTTAGGTTACGGACTGAATATGCCATACTGAACACACTGCCCATGGCTCCATATTCGCGTTGTTTTTTATTTTGCAGGAGACGCATTTCTCTAAGTGGAGTTTGCTGTACGCACTGTGAAATAATTAACCCATGTTTTGTTATATATGCAGTAAGGGAATGCATATGCATTTCAATAACTTGTCTACATTACATTGGGCAGGACATAATTAACATTCTGCCCTATATCGAAAAATAAAACCTAAAGCATAGCACTCTATGCAATAGGAAAGAAAAGCTGATTACATTTTGGAGGAATGTAATTTCTAAATGCCATCATGTCCTTGGGACTGTTCCAACTTCGCGTGTTAAAAATGCCAACGTGGCACATTTCCACGCCTTTAATTCTCCCTTTCACTTCAATTCACAAGCTCTAGGCCTCTTTGAGGAAAATGAAAGTGGAGGGAGGATATTAGGAATGCCCGAAAGAAAATGTGCATGTTCACTCCGTTTAATTGCCAGAATTCAACAGCGCGAATTTGACTCGGCGTGATGGCAGGGTCATGCCCGCAATTCAAGCAAAAGTGGAGCTGGTGGATCACACAGAGATGGAGCCTGGGTGAGACAAATGCCTGTAAGGGAAACAAAATGTTATGTAGGAAGCAGTACAGCAATTTGATTTCAGACCTCCCGGTTAGGATTTTGAATGTTATACCCTCGTATATATGTCACTTTTATTCAGGCAATTGTTTCCCTCAAACGCAAAACTTTTCAAAAAGGAATGGGCCTAACTTCTCAGAGCGGGACATAAGCTCACAGTACAGTATTGTGCATATGGGTCTTACGCCATGATTAGGCTTTGTTTTTGCTATGTTATTATTCCGGAATGACAATACAATAGAATACAGTACTGTGTTATGAATATTAGTATGTACAAGACTTAGCCATATAATAAATCAATGGTGTAATTCTATGAGCATTGAGCAAGTATTCCATCAAGTTATAGAATACATACAGTATATTACGGTAAATCTATGTTTACATATTTCTTCTCAAACGCTACTTTTGAAGCAATTCTGGGTATCAATAGCATTTTAAGTCCTTTGTCGGGGTTTGCGATATGTAAAATATCGTTTACAGTGTTGTCCAAGATATTATACAGCAGCAATAATCATCACATTCGTGGCACAAATATTTCTACCAAAGTGCAAAACGTACAGCCCAGTCGGGCAAACCAATAGATTTTCACAATACGATGAAGACATTTTTGAATCCAATATCGCAGTAAACATCAGTTGGTTTCATGCTGGTATAAAATGTATCCAAGGAGTTAAGTGCAGTGGCAGACTTCCAAGCACTGTAGTCACAAAGCCAGGAGCTGTGACGATAATCCACTCTCCCTCACCACAGTCGCATTTCAAAATAGAATGACATCACCCTAAGACTCAAGCTTTACCACATCCCTTTTGACAACTTTCAGCACCCTTGCAAGACTGACAAAGACAAAGCGCTAGGCTAAGTTATACACGGCCTAATCAGATGACAATTTCACCTGCTAGGTTACGTTTAATTGTGAAACAAGTTCCTCCATGGATGATTATTCCCGTAAAATAATTCCGGTGGGCCTCTGCTGTGCAGTTCGAATCGTGACGAGACCAGCCAGGGTGATCATAATGTGTTGTTTGCATGACTACATGCGCTGCATGCAGGAATACTTGTGCATTTTGGCAGTGCACACATTTTAAATTCCCATCCAGGAATTATGCAAAATAATTTAAACCCGAATGCCCCTTATTCAGAAAGCACTACCAAAAAGAGCCCCCACAAACAAAAGGTCTCGGCTTTCAGCTTATGCAGAACAGATGAATGATCAATGTGCCAAATGTCACCAGTTGCCATGTTGCGAACAACAATTTATTTGGGCCAATCTCTCTCAATTAAGTGTCACCCAGATTTATTTAAACAATTACAAATTCATGGCTTACCAGTTAAAATGTTTGCACAAATCAAGCCCCCCCCCCCCTCCCACCACTACTCCCCATGCAATCAATATTCATGTGTATGATTGCTTGTAAATCCAGAACGATGAGGACAGTGGTGTAAATTTGTCATCTGCGTGAGGGACCTTTTGTGACGAGATAAGAAGTCAAGCCGCTGAGCCGATTAATGACGATGGGTCAGTCACAGCATGGCAGCACAGCCGCAACGTCCAAGTGGTTCCCACTACAAAGACCCCCGTATAGCCTGGAGTGTTGGGGCAAGTGCTGTTAACGAGCAGCACCTATGAAGGCCCGGCACGGCCGCCACACGAGGGGGTGGAATGGCCAGCAACCACGCCCGGCCGGCCTTTGTCTCCCTAGTGGCGATGTTTACACACCGCACTAGGTACTCATTTGAGGCTGAGTCGACCTAGGGGAGTCCGAGGACCGTTCGAAGTGCAGCGCACTAACCACTACACCACCGCTCCTCACTGCCAGCATGGTGTGTCGTCTTCGTCATCACCAGCTTTGTTGTATCACGGCAAAGCTAATCAGAATTTCTTTTTTTTTTAATATATTATTGTTTTGTCTCTAAGAACGCACATTTCCTTAAAATTGTTGAAGCAATTATCCGGTGTAATCAGTGTGGACTTCTGTAAAATTAATATACTGCACTTGAAATGTTAACTCCATATTACACTACCACATTGAGTCAATGTGCAGGCTGTTACTAATACAAAACATTTGCTTAAAAGTCACGTAACTCTGAGTGTAAAAGGCCCTGACACACCCTGACGTAAAGGGCAGCCTTCCAAAACAAATTCTAAATTATTTCTTTAATTATTACATTTATATTACCAAGGTGTTCAGAAGCTCTAACGTATATTGGGCAGTGCTCATCACTGCAGCTCCCCCTGAGCCATGTATTTTTGTTTCTATGCCAGAAATTTAAATTTTATACCTCAAAATGATTGTTCCTAAAAGGAACTATGATGGGCCGAGTGACCCTGGTCAAGATTTGAAGTCGTGTACTCACGACTACGATCCCTGTAGCGCTTACCACCAGAGCTACACCCCAAAAACATGATTTAAGCCGCACTGTTTTCAAATCAATGTAGGCTGCTTTATTTTTTGCACGTGAATTCGCCTCGAAGAAAAATAAAAGGTTCCTCGCGCAATCTGTAACGCGTCACTATTGTTATGATTCCGTTATATTGAACGATGCCTTGCAAATGCAACATCTTGACAAGTTGATGAGGTATAATAATAATAATTTCATTTTAAATAGCGTCATTCATGCAATTGCATCCCAAACCATCAATTATCTAGTTCCGTACAGAAAAAATAAAACCGCACTACTTAGTAAAACAAAAATGAATACGTAAATAACGAAAAAAGTGCACACAACAAGAACAAATTCTCGCAGAGAAAATAAATTAAAATGAATCCGTTCGGTCGGACCGTTTCAATGAATCCAGGTTGCGTGCAAAAATATTGACCTTTCAATCAATGCACTGTACTGTTCACTGCTGACATCAGCACTCCACAAAACCCAGCTTAGTATGGCACCAGGGACGCGAGAGCACAGATAGCATTAACCCAACAAACGACGACTGCATTGTTTGTATGCAAATTATTAATGGTATCTTTTGGCCCCCACATCTGCTGCACAATGGCATGTCAACGTTGCGACCGAAGCGTGTGATCATCAGTCGAGTTGAAAATTTGCACATCACAATAACAATGGAAGCTAATTTCGCATCATAGATTCACCACAAATACAGGCTTTCCACAATACAAGTAATGTATCTAGGCTTCAGTTTTAAATGGCCCGGGCATTCAAGCATTTAGCTTGGAAACCCAAGGCAAAAGTTCGGGTCGTGTTTCGAAACCCAGCCCACAGACGTGGAGCCATGATCGCAAACACATGCAGGCACTGTTATACTTCTGATATCGGCAGAGATTGGCATTGTTTAAGGATTGAAATTTGGTTGATTCATTCAAAAAAGAACACCTTCATGTCCAACTTGCCTATCAATGTGTTTAGGTCCACGATCGCAAGCAATGTATGCATAGCCTACGAACAAATTATTGGAAATACACCCAATTTCAGTCGGAGGGAGTTAAGCAGCCTGTTTAGTGCTTGGATGGGTGGCGACCAAGGCTTGCCAGGTGTTGTAGGTTTGGGGCTGTAAAATGGGTTTTTTTTTCCCCCCGGCAATTCCAGTTTAATCTATACTCTCATTTATGGAAATGGCCAAACATATCGATGCAGGGCCCCCATAAAGAGAGGCTTAAGCCACTGAGGCTTTATGGGTAAATATCTCGAATCATTATTGCTGTATTTAAAAGTAGCAAGGGGAGGCCAATGAGTCATGCTCTGAAAAAAATATAAAATCTCACTTCTCAGGTCAGCCAGTAGAGTTCTAAGTACCTGTGAATTGTTTATAACTGATCTGCACATCGTATTCCTAGATGTTAACTTTCAATATTACATGCTCACAATGACATGCCACTTATTACTGGATAAAGTGAATGTCTTATGTTTGAATGTATCTAACGAAATGGATAAAAATCTTTAAAACATACTATCAGTTCTTTGAGTTTTTCAGCCCAAAATATCAAGCTATCCGATCACTGGGATCCCAGTAAACCCCAAGTAAATAATTCAATGAAATAAAATAACTACAATTGACTTAACAGCTATATATTAAAAAAAACAGTATATCAGATTAAGTCATTGGCAAAAATGTACTTTTTGTTGTTCTCGTATGATGCCAATGAAAGTAGCACACATCAGGACAACCTCATACCCCATGCGCAGCCTTGCATACTGAATTTCTGATATCGAGGGATAAACAGAGACATGCCAGGAGACACTCAGAACATGATTGTCACTGAAAGCAGACAGCCGGGTCATTGCATGCAAAGCAACTTTTATCTGATATCCCCACGTCGCTTTGGTTTGCCCTACCCTTTACGAGGAAAAAAAAAATATTGAAATGACACGAAAGGAGTTGAGAATAACGGTACGCTTAATTCGAGACCGTGATAATGCTAAACTAATGCGATAAGCCAGAGGTTGTTTGAGGTCCTTATCTTTATTAACACACTTCCAATTTGTTTTTTTTTGCATGTCATTATTGACTGAATTTGTAAGTTGGCAAGAAGCCACGCATGAGAGCTGGGCTCACGCTTGAGCACATACATAAAGAAAATAACGGGAATCCTGGCTGTGGTGTACAGTATTTGCTTTGACAATGTCTGAAAAGTAAACTTAACATGCCAGTACATGCCCGTCTAGAATGCAGAAAATTGGAGGTGGGGGTGGTGGATCATACACACATTATTGCATACGTGAGGTACGCTCTTGCTAGGTGGCCTGCACTGTATAGTGCATTAAAATATGTTGAACATTGAACACATTCTTGTATGTGTTATTTTCGCATGTGCACGGGTTTCTTCTGGATACTGTGTGCAAGTATCGTCCCACATCTCAAAAAAAAAACCTAATTAAATGTCACAGACATCCTGGGCAGGACCATCCTGAATAACTCGTAGGACTCAAAGCTTCCTTGACTGAAAAATATAACCTATTCAAAGTAATATGTATTGCCTACATCGCATGCTGAACTTCTTTAACGCCGTACGTTGCCAACCGTGCTAATCGGAGGTGCGAACCTCCGATTAACGTCCAACTCGCCTTGCATTCACCTCGTTATCTCGAAAGACAGGCAAGGGTTGAGCCCGGCAAGTCCTTGGATTGTTGTAGGCATGGGGCTGAGGTGGCCAGGAGACGGCAATACCCCCGATTTACGTCGCTCCCTTTTACGTCGTTTCGCAAATACGTCGTCGCTTTATTATTCGTAAGAGCACAGCCTGATTTGCGTCGTCTCAACCCCCACACGTACGTTGCTGGCAGCGTCGTCCGTCCTTACAGACTTCGCTTCCACCTGCCCCTTGTCCATCACGAGCGACTTTGCATCGCGCTTAAAGAAATAACCTGGACTGTAGAGTGCAATGTATTATTTTAAGCACGGTATTTTGATGATTTGGAGAAAAAAAAAAGTACTTTGATTGACTTCGTTTTGATATTCGTCTCGCATTTCAGGAACGCATCCCCGACGTATACCGGGGTATTGCTGAACATACATTTTATTATGAATACATTTTATCTCAGTTCTCCGGTAACCCTCGAACACTCAATGGATTTGGCCAAACATTCCAACGCATGACCCTGCTGAACAAGAGTCTTGCGCGACTTGAGTGTAGGATTTTCTTCGGCATTATTATTTTACGAATTCCATTTTGGAAACGTTTTATTGCCGTGCCCTCAGCTTGGCTGAAATGGAGATAATTGTCTTTAACAGTAAAACAAATAGTTCCACAGGAAGACCGCATGGCTGTGATAGATTTACAATCGACACTCTCGGCCACGTTGAGCAATTCAAGGTGACTGCTGTGGGCCCTAAAACACTTTGTGTGTTCCCCTGAGCGTTAGGCATATCCAAGGATCCTTGTGAATGCGTGGGTTGTTGAATTTTGATGCAAAGTGGAGCCTTTGGTTTGTATCGACCGACAGCATCAGGCAAACATGCAAACTCCCTGTGGTGTGCAAACCGCAATGGTCATGCTAAGCAGCAGCACTATTAAATGTTGCGATTAAGCAGAGAAAGACGAATTATAAATTATAAACAGCAGGTCGGACGGAACTAATCACAACAAAATCAATAACCAGTGGGTATGGTAATTCAAGAGATAACATTAAATGCATCAAAGCAATTGCATTTTTTATAAGCTTTAGGTTTCAAACAACGTTTTTTTATTCAAACCATGGTGCATCCAATGAAAGCATTTTTTTTAAATCACAAAATCTTCACGTTTAAGAATACTGTAATCACGAGACTATCTATATTACACTACCTTATTTCGGTTCAGTACCATGTCAGTGTGAGACCCAAATTATCCACATTACCATTCACATCTCGGTCTTAACCCTACTTCAAAAATCAGTTGTCACCGCGACAATTTCCACCATCAACAACGCCATCCATCTTCAACTACACATCCATAAAAACAAACCACCAGCCCCCATTGTGTTACACTGCAAGCTCCCTGACCACACCTCAAATGCATCCTTACCACATTCTCTCCAACTCGTTGACCTCTTCTTCACGTGGACACGAGGTTTTGCGGCTGCGTCCATATCCTCGCTCGTGCAGAAACATCGCGGTAGTGATAAGAGACACAGGACTCGGACCAAATGGGAACATGCGACGCTCGCTCGAGATGACACATTATACAATAGGA